TGTTAATGTGGTTAAAACTCCAGCATGAAGAAGCTCTTTGGCCTAAATAATGTTTTTATTGTTATCAATGCATTTTCAAATGTACTGTTTTACTAAAAGAGAAATGAAAAAATAATAATAAACATATTTTTTTCTGATTTAAATGTCTAATTCTGTTTATTTCCTGTCATTCCTGAGGAGAAAAGAGAGTTTTGGTGGTTTTAGTCTTTAATCTGAGAGGTTACAGAGCCAAACGTGTTAATGTGGTTAAAACTCCAGCATGAAGAAGCTCTTTGGCCTAAATGATGTTTTTAAACTCTAAAATATATTTTTTACTATTATCAATACATTTTCAAATGTACTGTTTTACTACAAAAGAAATGAAAAAATGATAATCAACATATATTTTTTTGCAGTTTATATCATGTAGTGAGAGATATTCAGCAGATTCACCTTTTTTGCATTTTTTATAGTAAAAATGTGCATAAAATACAGATTAAATTGATTAAAAAACATATACAGTGGGGGAAATAAGTATTTGACCCCTTGCTGATTTTTCAGGTTTGCCCACTTACAAAGAATGCAACGATCTATAACTTTAATCATATGTACATTCTAACAGTGAAAGACAGAATCCCAAAGAAAATTCCAGAAAATCACGTCATATGAATTTATAAAAATTGGTAACCATCTGATGAGGAAAAATAAGCATTCTTTGTAAGTTGGCAAACCTGCAAAATCAGCAAGGGGTCAAATACTTATTTCCCCCACTGTATGATGTCTTTGAAAAACGTTTGAGTCCATTTTTAGGGTTTAAAAGCATAAGAAATTTAGCTGCTTCTCTTTTATATTTAACACATAAAAAACTTAAGTTTTAAACAGATTTGGACCATTTCATGTAATTTATGTCATATTTGCATGCAGTTTATATCATGTAGTGAGAGATATTCAGTAGATTATTTCCCATTTTTGCTTTTTTTTTATAGTAAAAATGTGCAGAAAATACAGATTAAATTGATTCAAAAACATAAATTATGTCTTTGAAAAACGTTTTGAGTCCATTCTTGGGGTTTAAAAGCAGAAGAAATTTAGCTGATTCTCTTTAATATTTAACACATAAAAAACTTCAGTTTTAAATAGATTTGGACCATTTCATGCCATTTGTGTGGTATTTGTATGAAGTTTATATCATGTAGTGATAGATATTCAGCAGATTATTTCCCTTTTTTTTCATTTTTTATAGTAAAAATGTGCATAAAATACAGATTAAATTTATTAAAAAACATATACAGTGGGGGAAATGAGTATTTGCAAACCTGCAAAATCAGCAAGGGGTCAGATACTTATTTCCCCCACTGTATGATGTCTTTGAAAAACGTTTGAGTCCATTTTCGGCGTTTAAACGCATAAGAAAAAGGCCTGAGGTCCTGTACCTGACGTGCTCCCTCTCCCTGGACCCGAAGCTGACGGTGGGCATGTCCCAGGCCAGGCAGAACTCCAGAGTCCTCCTGCTGCCGCCGGGCACCGAGCAGCCGGACGCCAGCGCCGCCGCCACCTTCTCACCCTTCACCGTCGGGGGGCTGGA